CAGACAGAGATAGAGAGGCACAGAGACAGAGAAAGAGAGAATGCATATAAAGATTTCAAAAGAAGAAGCAGAATAGTCACTGTCATGTTTAAATATCATGCTGTTTCTCTTGTGTGAGAAACCAGAAGGGTAAACAAGGACAAAAGTAGATGATAGATATTGGAAAATAGGAAGAAAATATTCAAATGGGAAGAGGAACAAAGGTGGGTGGAGGGGGGAAGGAAGGAAGAGAAAAGGAAAGAAAAATAGAACAGAAGAAAAAAATGGAAACAAAGCTTTTGTAAATAAGGAGGGGAAAAGAGTTGAAGGGAGGGCAGGGGAACGGGGAAGGAAAGAATCAAAATACATTATGTACAGGTACAATTCCCTATGATGAATGTGATCACTATGTATATCAAAAGTGTACCAATAAAATGAATTTTTAAAAAACAGATAATATGAGTTCTTGTGTATGTGTTTTTAGCATTAGAATTGAATCCAGGGCCTCTGCACTGAGCTACATCCTCAGCCCTCTTTTATTTTTATTTATCTTATTAAGTCACGAAATTGCCCAGGCTGGGCTCAAATTTGTAATTTTCCTGCCTCAGCCTCCCAGATTGCTGGGATTATAGGTGTGTGCCACTATACCTGACTGTGAGTTGCTGACAGAAAGTTTTGGCAGAACTAACAAGACCATTTCCAAAATTTCTACCTGCAGCATCAGCCATACCTCATAGGTTGAACAGCAGAAAGCCTAGCTACGACCTGGACAAGCAACTCCATCCTTCATGTTTCCTCTGTAAAAGAGGGAGTGACAGCAGCCAGACAAGCACTATGAGGGTCACATGCCAGTGTTTGTGAGATCACTTAACATACAAGAGTTTATTAGGCAAGCAAAGTATTCACAAATCAACTGTGTTCCCATATGCCAGCAACAGTGGCAGAAAGTGTAGTCCAAACATGCATGTGTTAATTAACCCTCATGATGACCTTACAGATAGTTCCACTGAGTCTTTTTACAGATGGGGACAAGGTGCACCAAGAAGTCAAGTCATATGAGCTGGGAAAGAGGGGATGAGGAGGGAGGACCCATGTGCCTGTATGACACTTTGGCGGTACACTGATCACTGCTCACTTTTCTTCCCCTTCTGAGGGCCAGGAGAAAGTAGGGACAGATACCTCAACGCTTTACCAAGCAAGGAGAAAGTGGTTGACAAAAGTAAATTAGAAGGAATGGAATGATAGCATATTCCTGGATAGAAAGGGTCGTCTTCCTGAGAAACCAGGAGAAGCCTGAAAGAGTCAAGCTCTGTGTGTGTGTGTGTGAATGTAGTGGAGGGGGCTTAGGGAAACATTACTAGATATTAAAACATTTTAAAGTTTTATAATTATACAGTGTAGAATTAGTGCATGAATAATCAGACTAATAGAACAGAATGAAAAGTTCAGAAATAGACTGAAGCGCATATGAGAATTTAATGTTATAAATCAGGAAGAAAGAGAGAGAGAGAAAAAGGACTTTTTAGTAAGGGGCACTGGGACAATTACATAGCTATTTGCAAAATGATAAAAAAGATTCATACCTCACTCCATATATAAGGACAAGTTCCAAATGGATGGAGTTCTGTGTGCAAAAATGAAATCATAAAAGTGGCAGCAGAAAATTGGGTGAATTTCTTTATAATATGAAAGTGGGAAAAACCTTCCTATCTATGATTCAAAAATCTGAAAGCATGTAAAAAAATTTATAAGTTAGACTTCAATTCTTTTTTTGCATGGCAAAAAATATGCATATTTCTGACAGGAATACAAAATGTTACCACCTGCAGAAGGTTTGGCAAAATCCAGAAAGTAGACATGTATTGTCACTGCTGATCCAGTGACTGCACTCCTGGGGTCTCAACACAATCACGCAAGAGGCTGAAAACCACCCCTCAGTAGAGTAAGGCTGCCAAACCATGTCCATACCCCAGAGTCCTGGAAGCAGCACTGCGGTACCTCACACAGCAAGAAGGACTGCAGACGCAATTAAGATTAAGAGCCTTAAAATATGGAGATTGCTCAAAGCGATCACAGAGTTATAAAAGTGGAAGAGACACAGACAGACGGGAAGAGGGAGAGTCGAAGCCCATTGCAGCTGGCTCTGAAGGTAAAGAGGGCCCATGGGACACAGATGTGGTGACCTTTAGTAGCTGCAACAGCCCTGCTGGCAGGCAGCTTGGAAACAGGATCTCAGTCCTACAACCCAAGGAACTGAACTCTGCTAGCATCCTGATGAGCTGGGAAGAGCTAAAGCCTTATAGCCTCCTGAAGGGACTGCCTCCAGGACAGCGTGACTAGCCCATGAAACTCCTGCTGAGCTTCTGACCTACAGAACTGTAAGATGATGTGTTTGTGCTGTGTGACTCCCTGAGCATTTGGCAGTGACAGTAAATGCATCCCCACCCCAATTACCCATCATGGAGGACTGTCACCCTGCACCCCGGGGAGACCTGTGTACCCCAGGAAGGAATGAGGAAGCTGTGAACACAGAGAGGCACAGTGAGCTAAAGGATGCTTTGTCACATGAGGGGACTGTTCTGTGTAAGAATGGGAAATGTGAACATGTAAGTTTGCTTATACCATCAAAAAAGAGGCAGAAGGGGCTGGGCATTTAGCTCAGCAGTTTCGCCGCCTGCTGCGTAAGCACAAGGACCGGAGTTCGATCCCTGGTACCAAAAAAAAAAAAAAAAGGCCAGAAAACCTAATATATATGGGTTATCATGGGGGAGAGAGGCATCAGAATAAAGGGGAAAAGATGACATAAACCTCCTGAATATTGATTTTTTTCTAAATAGTTTTGATTCTGGGATCATGTAAGTGAGCTACATACTTGAAAATGAATTTAAAAATTTAAAACGGGAGAAAAGGAAGGGAGGGAGGGAAAGAGGGAAGGCAGGCAGGAAGGGATAATTTCTGGGTTTATGCAGGCTGGCCTGTCTTAGCACTGAATTCTAGAGCTTGTGGAGAGCATTGGCTGGACGGCATGCATGGTATTCTGGCCACACTGGCACCCTTAGCCACCAAGCCGCACCATGTGCTTCAGCTGTCCTTAGTGTGCTTGTCTGGCTCCTCGTGCTGACAGAATTTTAGGTGCTAGAATTGGTTTTCATAAGATGCTAGAATTATTTTCCTACATTTTGTTCTAAGAGTTTCAAAGTTTGCTTCTATCACTTTGGTTTTCATTCACTGGGGGTTGGTTTTCTAGATTGGATGTGAAGTGGGGAGACACTGTTATTTTTCTTAAATAGATAATTGTTTCAGTCCCTGGGAGGATCCTACATATATTTCCAGAAACACTTGCTTAATGAAGCTTTTGAAGATGCATATAGGATTTGTTCTCTAACTTATGGCCACTTTCCAGAAGTGAATTGTCTTACAATCCAGTATAAGTATCGTCATGGAAGTCGCTGGGATTTTACTTCAGACAATAGCTACTTTGAAACTTTACTGCTCTTCCTCATTATTTGGTTCTTTATCTTTTTCTCCTCCTTTTATAGGAACATGAAACCAGCAGACTGTGTGTTACTCATTCACAGATCCCTAAGCCCACCCATGCTTGCTACGGCCCTTGGTGTTGGGGCCGGAGTCTTTTCTGTGGTCCACTTTGGGATCCTGTGTGATCAGCCCATGCTCCCTATTCACTTCCCCTCTCTATGCCGACTTGCTGGCCCCTTGCTGTCCCCCAAACACGACCCACAAGCTCCTTCCTCCCAAGAGAGAACATTTCCCTCTACGACAGAAACGACAGAAACTTCGGCAGGCTTTGCTTAGTGCTACACCCTCCACACCTAGAATAGTGCCTGGAGGCAGAACACAGCCTAGAAATGTGGCTAAATGAATGCATATTCTATGAAAGACAAATTGTAACAATTACTCTCATTCTTATATTTGGTAGCTAACTGGATATAGAATTTTTAAGAAATGCTTTCAAATTCTGTGTTCCTATTTTTAAACACAATTTGAATTTTAACCCTTATTCTTAACTTTCCAATCACCTAATAGGACCCTGATCTAGCATTTTGTTTTCCATTGTCTTTCTTTTTTTTTTTTAATTCTTTTATTGGTACATTTTAGGTGTACAACACAATTACATTTCTCATTGGGAATTGTACCTTTACATGATGCATCTTGGTTCTTATTTCTTCCCCATTCCTAGCCCTCCCTTCACCCCCTCCACCCTTCCCTATTTACAAAGACTTTATTTCCATTTTTTCCATTTCTCAGCATTTTTCCTTTCCCTTCTTTCCTTTCCCCTGCCCCTCCCACTACCCCTACCCCTTTGGACCTTTTCTTCCTATTTTGCATTATCGATTATTCATTCTAATCATTGGTACATTTTAGGTATACAATATAATGACATTCATCATTGGAAATTTGTACCTTTACATAGTCTCTCTTGGATCTTATTTTTCACCCTTGCCCAGCCCTCCCTTCAACCCCTCCATTCCTCCCTATTTACAAAGACTTTGTTTCTATTTTTTCATTTTCTCATATTAATTCCATTCCCTTCTATCCTTTCCCCTAGCCCTCCCACTTCCTTCCCCTTTGCCCCTTTTCTTCCTATTTCACATGACCTATTATACATTTTAGTCCTTATTTACACTTTCAGTTTCTCACACCAGAGAAACTATTCGGTATTTATACATGTGTGTCCTATCTATTTCACTTAAGAGTATTGCCTCAATGTGCCTCCACTTAGCTATAAATGTCTCTAATTTCTCATTTTTATGGCTGAGTAGTACTCCATTTTATAAAAAAACCACATTTTCTTTATCCAGTCTCCAGTTGATGGGCATTTTGTCCCCAGCATCTCATTGACTTATCTACTTCTCCTCTAAGCACAAGCCCTTCCCCAATGTCCCCAGGTCTACACCAGCTGCCGCTGAACCATTCTGCAAAGCTTCACTCCCTTATCCCTCAAGGACAGTCCTCGACACGCTCTTTGGAAAGCTGGGTGCCCGGTTTTATGAGCCACATACCTGGCCCTCCACAATCCACCTGGAGATGGACGTCTTCCCATTGTATCCTGGTCGGAACTGAAGTGTGGCAGAGCGAGGGCTGATGTTGGAAATGACCAGGTTGGATGGGGCACCAGGAAGGTCTAGAGAAGGATGAAGGATGCAAGTAGAGAGTTAAATTCTATCACAAATTGTGGCAGGTATCAAACTTGGCAGTAAGGAAAGTTTCAACATTCTATCCTCAAAAAGGATTTGTTTTAAACCCATGAAAGTAATAAGAAGCAGGGCTTCCCCTGGACCTCAGCAAGCATGACTTTTACTTTAACAGGTCACCCAAGGCTCCAGGCCCTCAGATGTGGCATTAGGAAACACGCCCCTTGTTTATCTCTGAACACAATAGGTAATTAACAGGTACTTGCTGGATGAATTGATGTTAATTCTTGAGATGGCTGAAATGACACCAAGAGTTGGGAATTTTCTTCCCTATCATTGTTCCTATGATGCCTTGGAAGTTGGGATAGGGAAGGCAATGTTTCCAGGCAGCATGACATGGCAAGTGTTCAGGTCTTGTGCCTTAGGATTCTTGGGCCTGGTTTCCAAGACAACCAAATGCAGGTGACAGTGCAGAACTCTTCCCACTCTGCCTAATCGGTTGCTCTGGCAACGAGATAAGGTAGAAGGGGGGGTCCCGTCATCTGAAGTTTCCTATGGCTTCAACCTACTCACAGGCAGAGGTCCTTTGGGGGGCTTCTCCCCCAAAAAGCCATTCCTGTCAGAAGTGCAACACTGGGTATTGAATGCGAGAGTTTATATTATTGTGCCATGAGAAATACGCAAGAGAGAGATAATGGGATGAAATGAAGAAAAGCTGCTTTTTGCTTGCAGTGTATCTGAGGAGTGACTTTCTAACTTGCATTGCTGGGGGGATTTAAAGGCAGGTCTTGCCCAGGGACAATAAAACCACTTTGGTGATCAGTTCGGTATTGGCACAGGCAGAGTCGCTAGGATCTGAAGGGTCCTTTCACATCTAATATAATGAATTTGAAGCAGAAAATGTTTAAACCAGAGGAGAAGTGACTCTCTTCTTTGTATTCCTCAGCTCTCTGAGCTTTTGAAATGGCTCTTCGCTCACTAATGGATGTAAATCTCAAGCACAGCTGACAGAACACAGTTCCCCAGAAGGAATCGGCAATGTAGGAGGTTTTTCCCACAGGTACTCAGATGCTCAGGCCTGTCTAAAACCACTCTCTAGCTACCGGGACAGGTCTCCAGCGATCTGTCCCATAAATGGGACATCTGGCTATCAAAGGCTTATACAATACAGTGGGTTCTTCAATTTCCCCCTAACTCCACTCCCCTCTGAGGACTGCAGTAATGCTGGATGCAGAGCCTTCTGGAGGCCAGCAAGTCCATTTCCCTGCCTGGGCTGGACAGTGTCCAAGTTGTCCTAGCAAAAACCTGGTAACTCACACAAGATGCACTTCCAACCTTCCCCACTGTTGGTGTACACAGCCCTTTTTAACAAATTAAACAGTATGCCATTGGTGTCACTACTGTTGCGGAAGTACTACTGCTTTTTCAAATATGTGCTTTGGGAAGTAGCTTTAAATACTTTATGAGGGTGGTATGGGAACCAGCTATTGTGCAACATAAACGGGGGAAAAAAAAAGAATCCCTCTGTAAACTGAAGGCTTAAAACAGTGCTGAATTGCCTTTGCCCACGGCTCTTCAGTTGCAGCGCCTGGCCAGCAGCAAGGAACATCACTGAGATCTTGTCCCAGAGCCTCACCCAGCTCCACGAGTCAGACCCTTGGGGTGGGCCCAGGTCCCTGTGGCATGGCTGACCCATGAATCTGGTGTATGAGGCAGCATGAGGGCCACTGCTTCTGGGATGACAGTGACCAATGTCCACTGGGAGGCAGAAAGACTTAGTCAAGATTTGCCCTCCTGGCCAAGAGTGGCTGGACTCAGGAGCCTCCTCTCACACACACCGCAGAAGACAGTGCCCAGCAGAGCCCCATCACCCAAGGCTGAGGGTCACATTTAGAGTGGCCTCACACCAAGAGGCAAGGGACGGGGGACATGTGGGCTCCTGTGCGGTTCTTCTCACTGCACACATCTTATTGGTTTTGCACTCTTAAGATCATGCATGCCACCTTCCCAGGAAAATAAGCAGTTAGGGTGACTGGCTGGAAGTGAGGAGGACAGGGACAGATGCTGACTTTACAGAGGTCGTTCCAGCCCTTATGAATGAGGCAGCCTGACTTTTCCCAAAGACCTGAATATGGCAACCTGACATCTTTTAAATGGCAGAAGACTCATAGCCATAAATGAACTGACTGCCCCATGGTACTTTCTTACATTCATGTACATGTGTGAACTCTCTGGAAATACATATTGATTTTAAACTTAAACTTGAAACTGGAGAAGAATGAGTTGGTAGCAATTGTCTAAAACTGAAACGGGCATGCAGACATTGAGGGAGACCGTCGGAATTTCAAAAGGACTTGATGACAGGTGTAGGACACAGCTGCATGGAGGAGCAAGCTTGGCGGGGGGCTCGTGTATGGTCACTTGGGCCTGGGGCAGAGCCTTCCCCTTCTCCTCCACCGTTTTCCCCTCCTCCTCCTCTTACTTCTTACTCTTACTGCAAACCCCAATTCTTACTATTTTCTTGGGTGAATAAATTTCCATGCTTCCTACTCTCAATTGCAATCTGAGTGTTTCCTACGTCCTTCTCTCAGGCTTCTCCCTTCCATGTGTCGCTGGCTGGTGGCTATTGGAGGTCAGGCGCCTCAAGTTCTCCAGACCACACTGGGCCTCGTGGAGTCCAAGTCTCTCCTCTCCCTCCAGCGTGTTTCCTCACAGCCCCACACTCACAGGAGAGGAAGTAAGGTGTGCCTGATGTGCTGGAATGTGAGGGAGAAGGTGGGTCAGTGTAACTTACCTCGGCACACCCCAGGCCAACACCCTGCCCTGTCCCAGGTAGTGGGTAGCTCCTGCACGGAAATGCCATCAACGTCAAGTGCCAGGGCCCTCTACTGGAAAGGCAAGAGCAGGAGGAGGAGCACGCCAGGATTTTACTGACCTGGGGGCACTCCGGAAGAGATGGTGGATGAGGTGGCCAAGCCCACGCCCGCGGCCGTCACTGCAGTCACTTCGATGGTGTAGGTGGTGAGGGATGACAAACCTCGGATTTTGTATTCATGGGTTGTACTGTTGAGGGCCTGTGTGAGCCGAGAATCATTCTTCCCATACACCTCCCAAGAAATCCGGTAGCCTGAAAGGACACACAAGAGTGAGTCGGGACAAGGGGCAGGGCTGGACACCATGTGGTCCTTGTGGCGGATTTGAGAAGGTGGGGATTGGTCTCAGCAGGGTATGCTGAGGTCATGGAAGAGCTCACTGCCTGCTGAAATGGATCTCTGAGTCAGGACTCTTTCCTCTGCTCTCCTCAGAAAGCTCACCTGGGCCCCTTCTCCTACCAGGGTGGCCTGTTCTCTGTGGTAAGACACAGGAGCCTCTCCACGACAGGACCTGTGTGATATTTGGTGACCTTGGCACTGGCATCTGGAATAAAGAATAATAGCCAGTCCACTGTGTTCCATTAGCCTCCACTCCTGAAGTTATGGATGCACACCACCAGTATTCCCATTTTTATGAGTTGCTATTTTCATCACACGGTGCCCTAAATCAGCAGCTTGCTCTTGGTCACAGCTACTTTTTCCTTTATGAAGTGACTGACAGATGATTCTTGCAGTTTGCGAAGTGCTTTGCCTAGAAAAGTGTCTTTGCACCTGTGAGCATGAGTTTTGCTTCTAGCTCTGTCTCTATCCCTTTTTGAATATCCTGTTTTCCTAGCAAAATTTAATCTCCCCCTGTACTCTATTCAGTCTGGTGGGGCCTCATAATCACAATTTATTCAACCTCGGATTCCATCGTGATTTGGGAGTTGGAGAAAAAATACTCAACGAGTGTCTGAGTCGACCCCTTGGCAGGAGTTTATGTGGTTAGAGAATGCTTAAAGTGTCTTCTAGAGAGGGAAGCAGTGATGGAGAGAGCTCTCAGGTCCTGGGGCAAAGGAAAACCACTGAAAACTCGTGCTCTCCCTTCCTTTTGGTCAATACCCTGGCGATGCTGAAGCACTGGGCACAGCTTAGCTTCCTTCCATTCTGATGAAAGCAATAAATAAAGCTAGAAAGTTGCTCTTGCAGGTGAACACGAATTTAAGGAAAGCATCTTGGGACTTCAATATTTTGAAAGAACTATTAATGTTAGAACCGGCTCCCTGCTCATGGTGCCCGCAGCCGACATACATCGCAGAGATCTTGATGAGCTGACACTGGAACTCCAGGCTGGGGTACAGCAGCTGGGAACCGCAAAAGGTGAAAGGCACCCAGAGGCTGCCCGCCCATGGGACCTCCAGGCAGCACAGAGCCTGGATTACACCGGCCAGGTGGCTGAGGGGCCACCAGACCATGTTCCTCTGTGCAGGCTCCTAGCTGTCTCCCTGGGCCCGGTTCCCTTTCGCTCCTCACGGCACTGACAAGGGCTGGCTCCCATGCTCACGCCTGGCTCTGTCTCCTCCGCTTCAGTGCTGGGTTTTAAGACACTGTCCTTCTCATCTGCGTCTAGCCTGCTCATCCTCCATAGATACCAGCTTCTTCCTTTTGGCTAATTTGAGTTTGAAAGAAATGGCACAATTGGTAGAACAAAACCCTTCAGGGCAATGAGAGCTAACAACATCAAACACCCAGTCTGTTTTTCCAAGGACCTAGGAGTATCCTGAATACCTCATGGACACTAGTTCATGCAATCTGCACAAAGCACCTCTGACACCAGGACACTGTCACCCTTACTCTGCAAAGGAAGAAACAGGGCCCTGGATGCTCCAGGCCTGCTCCATGGTGCCACACATCCTGCCTCCCAAGGAGCCTGGTTTGCCACCTTCTTAGTTCTATCTAAACCTGAAAGCTACCCCTGAGCTTGAGTTACGCTTGATAAATCTACACTCTGGAGCCACACTGAATGGCTGGAAGAGGAGGCCATATTGAATGTTATCACCTTTCCTGCCAGGAAATTTTGCTTAAAAGCTGTTTTCCATTAAAATTTATTAAACACAGAATTGTGTTTATCATATCAACCTGAAGCTGAAACAGAGCGATTCTACCATCTTCAGTAAGTGTGGCACTGCTGAGATTTATCAGAACCAAAACTGATCACATGGTATGCTTAGATTGTTACGGACACAAACCCAAACCCAAAGGACAAGGGAACAAGCTTGTACCTGCTTAGGAAGGTGTAAGAAAAACACGGGCAGAGAGAACACAGTGGCCTGAAACTCTAGATAAAGGATGGCATGTGATGCTCCCATGTGCAGACAGACAAGATGGTGGGGATGTGGCAGGAAGAATGCTGTCTCCTCTCACACTGTTTTGGGGACCGCACGGTGAACTCCAGAAGCTCTGGCCAGCAACTGTCATGTGGCTCTGGTGTTCGACAGGAAGGGGAGAGGGCAGCTGGAGCCAGGGGCTGCACACATCCAGCTTGGCTACCTGTCCTCCCTGCTCTGAATAGCCGCCTAACTAAGACTAACGACCAGAGGAGCTTCAGAAATAATTTTCTGTTTATCTGAAGTAAATTCTCTACAAGAGAGCAGTGCATGCAATCACAGACTGCCTGTCTGCATCCTGGCCCTCATAAATCAGAGTTTACAGAGGGAGAGGGGAAGATACTGAGCTTTACAATGGGAGCACAGTGGGAAACTTACTCGGGTGGGTGAGTGGGTGTGCGGCTCAGCTCTTTGCTCTCATTCTGGCCTCACATTAGGATGGGGTGCTTGCTGTGGGTGCAGGCTGATCAACCATAAAGTGTACAGGGGCAAGCCATCAGCTTCTATGGGGTCCCCCTGCTGCCTTCAGCAGCCACCACACCTGGGCAGGACACACTGGGAAGGAGGTGGTGCCCACCAGCACTCCCCAAAACCAGCTCTGGGAGCTAGGTTTGCCTGCAAAGGCAGTTTTTCTTTTGCTGTATTTAATAAAATACTTTCGGCATAAAGCAGAGCTCCACGGTGCTTCCAGCATGGTTCACGGGAGGTCCGTATCCGTTTAGGGGTGCCAGACCATCCAGAGGCAAGAGAGGTTCCCAGAGGGCCAGCACCACAGGGAGGGGATGGGTGACATCCAGCTAGTAACAAAGCCACCCTATCTCACTCTGTGGGACCTTGCCTTCTACCGTGCTTCTCAGAGCGGAAAGAAGTGCAGGCCAGGTACAGTGAGGGGGGACAGCACAGGGAAGGGCAGAGTCTGTGGCAGCATGGTCACCGGCAGTAAAGGCTGCAGCTGGGGGCAGGCTGGCAAGATCCAATTGGGAAAAGCCATAGTTCCAAAGGTCCAGTTCCACAATAAGGAGAAGACAATCGCTTGTAACTATATGTGTTTGTTTAAATAAAATGCAAAACTGAGCTCATTAAGCCCCATTAGCTGGTGAGAACAGATGATCATAAATTGGAAGCACTGGCAACACTGCTTAGCTGAGATCCTGCCTCTGGCTTTCCCCTAAACCTCTAAAACAGGATCGATGGTGAGGGTGTTCAGAAGGTACGGGGCTATGCTTGCCTGTGTGTTTATGGCAAGGAAGCGCCTGCAGTACAGGCTCCCTGCAGGACTCTGAGCCGGGTTTCTAGAACATGGCAGAGACTGCTTGGATACAGGGAGCAGGCCGATGAGAATCACTGGCCTCTCTGTAGGCAGCCCTCCTTCTGAACTCAGAGGCTGAGGTGGCTCCCATTCTGTCCCTGGAAGGGTCCTTGAGGGTGTGCTCTGGAGCCTTTTTCTCTGTGACGCCTCCTGTTAAGCTGCTCCCACCCTCTCCCAACCCTGACCAGGCTGTTCTTCTGCCCTTTGAGAGGTGGAAAGCAGTGCTAAGCCAGACCAGGTCCCACTCCCCTTCATATACTCCCTCCAGGGGACAGGACGGGGGGTCCTTCTTATGCTACATAGTCAGGACTTGCCATCTGGTACAGAGGTTTCAGCACAGCAACACATGGGATAGGGGCTTTGATATCCTGTTTTCCAGTCCTGGAGTGAGGGCGTGTCCGGTGCCGGCATTTAAGACCATGAGCTTCCTGAAGGCAGACCCGGGTGGATGGATTTACTTTATTTCAAGTTAAAGCTTAAGGGACATCAGCTCCACAGGCCCCATGAGTGTGATCTGAGCACCTGGCTCTAAAAGGGCTCTGGGGAATCTGGTCGATCAGAGGCAGGAGTAGAAGGCTGGTGTCAGGTGTGCTGCTAGATGGGACAGAATGGAGGAGTTCCTGCAGGGATGTGGCTCTCAGGCTGTGCCTGGGGTACCTGGGACACTGAAGGGAGCCTCCCGGAGTGGTGACCCTGCTGCAGCGGCAGACAAGGATGCCCGGCACACCAGTCCTTCCTATGTAAGCTGCTGGCGTGGGGAGCTTGGTATCTAGATGACAGCATGCTTCCTTTTTTGGGGGGTGGCTGCCTGCTTTTGGGCATTTCCTGTCTGGCCACAGCAGAGCATAGTTTCTGGCAGTTGCTGTGATAAGGAGACAAATGCCACAGAAAAGCCACCATGGAAGGGACAGAGGCGGCAGTCCAATGTGACTGCTTGATTTGAGCAGCTGGGCAGCCAGGGCACACAGCCTTTCCTTTCACCTGCTGGGCACTGGCTTTTAAATGGCTACTTGGTGGATAGCACATAAAACGGAAGTTGCTGGATACTGCGATAAGCAGTACTGTCAGCTATGTCTTTGCCCTGGAGCTTTGCGACACCCATTGAGAGGTGCTGATAGGGGAAGACAGGGATCTTCTGGGTAGGACGGGAGCACACCTCATACTCTGCTCCAGCACATGGCCATGTAGAGGAGGACAGAACACAGACACCGGGTCCCAATACCAACTGGCCCACGTGCAGTCAGGACAAGTTGAGTGTGGATGTGGGGAAGCATCAACCTGCAGTGCTGGGTACCCACTGCAGGGGAGGCTCAGGGATAGTCACTGCTCTGCTCTCCAGCACCTTTGTAGGAGGAGGAAGGGGCCCTGCAGCATGGCAGCTGGGTAGCAGAGATAGGCCACCATTCTTGTCTCCATGCAACACATTTCCTGCCCAGGTTCTGGCCACCTGGAGAGCAGGAGTTTATGTCAGGAACCATGAGGCATTCAAGGAACTGTACAGGCTCCTGGAGTCTGAGAGTGTGACTGCTGTGTGACCAGACCGCTCCAGCTGTAGATGGACTCACTCCTGGATGACAAATGTCTCATTCAAACAAGGGCCATCTGAAACTGTGGGCCTGGCTGTGAAATCTCCAGGGACGAGCGCCTGAGGAGATGAGCCCCACACCACTGGGGAAGTCCTTGCTGAGTGCGGGCATCTGTGTATCTGGCATCCTGCATGGCCAGACAGCAGGAATGTGACAAAGCTTATGTGAAACTGCAAGAAATGGTGTGTAAAAGGCTCTAGGCCAGGCAGTAGGCCAGCCCCTCACTACAGTGTACCTCAATTACGCCTCCACAGAATACCCACAGCTAGAACTGAGGGTCTAGGGGGAGGTGCGCTGAGCCTGTGGGGCAGGTTACAGTGCTCACATCAGGGGCTGAGGATCTGGGGTTAAGCTTCCTGGTGGAAGAGGAGCCCCTCCAACTTCATCCACGTCAAAGCTATGCTGGTTTTACCAAACCGGAAGCCTCCACCACCACCAGCAAACTAGGATTTAAATTAAGCTTTAAGCTGCATTTTTTCAGCAACCTCTTCTGTAAAATAAACCATTAAAGGCCTGCAAACAGTGAGGTGTTTCCACCAAGCACCTCACTGCAGTGCGGGAGTTGAGACGGAAAGGGACTACATGCAGCCCACCTACCAAGCTCAGCTCAGGACCTTCTGGGTTGGACTCTCCTCTCTGCTTACCCTCCTTTCCCTTGAGACTTTCACCAGTGGCACAGTGGGGAGGGGTAGAATATGAGATTTGGATTCTTGAGGCCTGAACATCATCCTGGCCTTGCCACAAGTGCAGTGTACAGAGGACCAAGAGGCTGGCATGGCAGCACAGTAGCTGCTGCCCTGTTGGCTGCATCTGAAAAACTGTACCCTTTCAATGCATGTTTGCAGAATAAAGGAAGGTCACACAGCCTCTTCAAGCCTCAGTTTTCCCTAAACTCTGAGGCTGCTGCCCACACAGCAAAATGGCCCCATCTCTGAGTGTCCCCAGGACTGCCACAGGGCCAGGCAGACATTTCTGTGATCCCAGGAGGTCTCAGGCATGGGCCCACCCTCTGCAGTTTTGCTGGACACTACAGCTGCCTCTTTCTGGTATGGCAAACTTAGAGCTTTCTTTCTGGAAGACAGGATGCTCACCTGTGATGACAGGAGACAGGACACTCACCCGTAATGACGCCATTCTTCTCCAGGGGCTCCTGCCAGCTGACTTTGAGAGATGTGTCCAGAATCTCTGTGAAGCTCAGGTGGCCCACAGCTCCTGGTTCTGCCAATTAAAAATAGAGGCATCTGTTAGCACCACAGCCCGGTTCTCTTTTCATCAGATTTAAGTGGTAGGTTCTAACTGCAGAAAGGAAGTGGTGAACTAGGGCCAGCAGAAACCTGCAGAAAACAACAGGAAAAATGCAAGTGGGACAGTGGAACTGGTACTAAGGTGTCCTAGCTGTCACTGCATGAGATATTTTGCCCCGCTCCATCCCAGTTACACTGGGATATGACAGGAGGTAGTAACAGGAGGCAGGGGTTTATGCACACCTCACTCTCTGTAAGTAGAACCATCAGACCAGCTAGACCTCGAAAAGCAAAAGCTTACATAGAGTGCCCCTTAGCAGGCATTTGCAGCCCTGGGCCTGGCTTGGTAAGGGGCCCTGCAGCAGCTGGAATAGGGAGCCTCGGCCTAGGGGCAGCGCCAGCCCAAATCTGACCCACAGGCAACACCTGGCCCAGCTGATCCAGACTCCAACTCCCTACTCCTCTCCACAGGGGCCCCAGAGGGGCAGGCTGGGGATGGAGAGGGCATTAGCAACAACAGTTCTTCCCCCAAGAGCTTCCCTGCCCTGCAGACCCGAGCCTAGCAGGGTGGGTAGAGCAGCAGAGGCAGGGTTAACACTGGAGGTAGAGTTGGGTTACAGACCTTGCTGCACCGTGCACTAGCTCAGCAGTTAAGGGCCCCAAACCTTCATCTACCCATTTGTGAAATGGGAGAATAAAAATGGCTCTGCAAGGTGACTGAGAGGATAAAATATAATAAAACATGAGGGTGCTAGCATAGGCCTGGCACTATGAAAACACTGAATGAACCTTCAGTAGCATCCTATGGTCAGAGGATACAGTCATTTCTAAGATGAAATTATCACCACCAAAGAGAAGATCTGAGAGGCCAAAGTAGGAGTTAGTGATTCAGGCTTAAGGACATGTGGCTGCGAAGCAGACGGATAGATGGAAGGATCTAGCACAGCAGGACTGGGAGTGAGGCATCTGCAGGCTGGACAGCACCTCACACCACAGTACTCCTCAGCTTAGAGCCCTTTCGGGTTCCTGCCCCATCCCAGTGGGGTTGGGCCACCCTGCCTGATGGTGGTGAGGGGGAGTAGAGGTGGGTGGATATATGGGTGCTCTGAGCAAGGGGTCTCTCAGCAGCAACAGCTATGTGGGGTCTGGGGGAGAAGCAGAAAAGGTCATGTTTGAGAGATGGTTGGGGGCTGGAGGGCTGGTCCCCGCTGTGAGCCATGCCTGGTGTATGTGGATCTCACAGACACCCCCTGGTCTGGGGTTTCCCAACCAAAGCTGCTGGTTTGCTCATCTGCTCTACTTCAGAGCCTATTGCCTCTCAGACAATGCTCCCCATGCCTACCGCTCTCCATACCCAATCTGGGAGAAATGTAAGGGACCGAGTCCTAAACAGAGGACTGAAGAAAGGGTGATTCAAAGGCAACAGAGGAGGGAAATAAGATGCCTAGGAAAGAGACAAGAACAAGGTTGGTGTGTGCACATCTTGGCGGGGGACCTGCCCTAGCCAGGCAGGGAACACCTAGCTCCCTAACAAACCTGCCGGGTGAGGCACACTGAGATCTTTTTACTCATAAAAATGCATTTAAAAAAACCTTAAAGTCATGGGAGAGCATGAAGTCAGAGGAGCTGCCTATCCTGCAGGAGAGGGGGTCTGCACATTCCTGCAGAGAAGCCTCGCTGTCCCGCAGGCCCTGCCCTGGATCCTGCTGGTCTTGTCTGCACAGGAGGCAGATTTTTAGGTGAATTCAATACGTAGTTCCCAAGTGGTACTGCGGTAAAGCTTTCTAACAAGTTGTGATTTTTTAAAAGATGGTAAGTCTTCTGAACCACACTCACCTGGGTGAAACCCCGCAAGATGTGAGGAAGAGCTCAAACACTGACAAATGCCACTTTCCTCGAATGGCAGACAAGAAAATAGGACGGCTGTCAAGACCATGTCATCCTCCCCTAGCCTGAGCACGCAGAAAGACATTCTGACGGATTTCTGAACTGATGTGTTCTTTTTCAATCGATGGAGTAGCAAAGAAAGCTTTTTACTCCTTTTATATTTTCAGTCTTTCTGCTTCCTGGATTCCTGCCCAAATATGCTGTCCTCCAGCTCTGCTGGAACTAGCTGGCAAATTAATATTCTGTTTCTCTTTTCTTTCCCTCCCCAACATCTTTGTATCCCACTGGAGCATTGAAGAGCAGGCCTGGTGCAGGAGTCCATGGCATGACCTTGGTGACACCCAGGAGACGTCTCCCCAGAGCCCTAGCCCAGTCTTCTCTTTCCTGGCCCAACCTGAACCTTGCGTTCAATTTTACATTTACAGCTTCCTCTGTCTCTCCAAGTAGGATAAACAGGCTCCCTGCCTGTAACAATATGGTAGTTTGGTTAGAAAATTCTAAAAGGGTGACATTGCTTTTAGTTTTGTTTGCTGAAAAGCAGGTGCCATAGTAAAATGCACATATTTTAAGCACTCATTGAACATTCACCAAGTCAGACCACATCCTGGGACCAAACCCTCAAATTTAATACAAGTGAAACCAGAGAAAGTATGTTCTCCAATAATGGACTCAGATTGGAAATCAATAGTGGAAAGATACTAGGAAAATCTCCAAACACACGGCAATTAGTTATTACTCTTCTAAACAACCCATAGGTCAAAGAAGAAGTCTCAAAGGAAATAAGAATACATACAGCCAAATGGAAGTAAAACTATGGCGCATAAAATATGAGTGATGCAACTAAAGCAGCATTGAGAGTGAAATTTATAGCACTAATTGGTTATTTTGGAAACAAAAAAAAGACTCAAATCAATAATGTAAGTGTTTCTCTCAAGAAATTAGAAAAAGGAGAGAAAAATAAATCCAAAGCAAGAGAGGGAAGGAAATAATAAGGAGCAGAAACAAATGATATTGAAATAGAAAATAATAGAGTAAATCAATGAATCAAGAAGCTGGTTCAAAAAATCAATATGACTGATGAACCTCTGGAAAGAATGACAAAGTTAAAAAGGCAGAAGACACAGGCCACCAGTGTCAGGAAGGAAAAGGAGAATATCTTCACAGTGCCTACAGCCATTAAAAAGATAAGGAAGCTTGACAAAGAATTTTATGATCATAAATCCAAACTCTTAGAGGAACAATTCCTAAAGAACAATAAACTACTAAAACGCAACCAAGCTGGGCATGGTGGCACAGGCCTGTAATCCCAGAAGCTGGGCGGCTGAGGCAGGAGAGTTGCTATGAGACCAAGGCAAGCTTGAGCTACACGGTGAGTTCAAAGGACAGACTGAGCCTCATAGCAAGACCCTGTCTGAAAACAAAAACAAAAACCTCAACTACCATGAAATGGACAACTTGAATAATTTTATAACCACTGAACAAATTGAATTCATAATTCAAAATCTCCTAAGAAAGAAATCTCCAAACCCAGAGGGTTTCATTAGAAAATCATACCCAACATTTAAAGAGAAATTGATACTAGTTTGACATAATTCCTTCCAGAAAATAAAAAAAGAGGCAACATTTCCAAATATTTTATGAGGCCAGTGTTGCCTTGATGCTAAAGCAGATACAGCACAGGGGGAAAAAAAAGGAAACCACAGACCAGTATCTCTCATGAACTTAGATGCCAAATCCTCCATAAAATACCCACCAAGTGAATCCAACAGCATATAAAAAGAATTACACACTGTGACCAAGTGGGATTTATTCCAAGTGCACAACATTTCAAAATCAATCAATGTAATCCAATATATCAACAAGGTAAGATGAAAAACCACACGATCACATCGACTGATATGGTAAAAGGAGGTGAAGAAATCCAATGTGTATTCATGACAAAAACTCTCAACAAACTGAGGATGGAATAGTGGGGATCGACTTTGGCTTGATAAAGAACATCTGCAAAAATATCCTACTTAGTGGTGAAAGGCTAAAGGTCTTACCTCCAAGACGGAGAGCAGGAAAGAATGCCTACTCTCAGCATAGGATAAGGAATTCTAGCCAGTGCAAACAAGGCAAGGAGAGAGATACAAGGTGTACAGATTAGAGAGGAAGAGAGGGCAGAAGGCAGGTGTGGTTACAGAAGAGGAACCCCAAGGAGCTTGGTGGTTGGGGACCCCTTAGCCCTGGATTTGGTGGTGGGGACATAAACCTTCACATGCTACACACTGTACAGAACTAACTGCGCATGTGCATGTGGAGGAGGATAGGTAAAGCTGGTCACTGAATGGTGTCAATGTCAGAATCCTGTTTGTGATGCTAGACAATAGTTTTACGAATGTGAGCACTGAAAAGAACCAGGCAAATATATACGGCCATCTCAATGCTAATTCTTACAGCTGCATGGGAATCTATATCTCTCTCAATAAAAACTTGAGTTCAACATAAAGCAGAAGACATATCAAAGTTAGAGTATGAGAAGAACTTCCAGGATCAATTAATAGCAGCAGCAGGGCTGTTTTTTTAAATCTTGAGGGTGGGGTCAGTGATCTTAAGGGATCAAAAACTGTTCTGTTTTTCCTGGGTGGCAGTGTGAAAGCCAGGCCGCTAAGGTGTGGGAGGGCAGGAGGGTCAAGACAATAGTTTATGTGGAAAGGAAATATGGAGCTCTGGGCAACTCTATGTGGCAGCTAAGTCAGAGCTGCCCACTCTGGGTGAGGCAGACGTGAAGGAATCTGAAGGTCAAAGAGAAGATGCCCATAGCCAGAGAGGACTAGGACAAGAACACAGGGTGGGATGGAAGGGAGCCAGGGAGCTTGGTCTGGGGGACTTTGATCTCTTCTGTGCCATGTTCTGGGATCCTAGGGCCAGGCAGCCAGTGGAGAGGGGAATGGGAGGCTGAGCCAGACCCAGAGCCAGACCCAGAGCTAGAGGGAGCTGGGGAGAGATGAGAGCAGCCTTGTGGAACTTAACAACATACAGCACTGGCTTATTTCTCCATATAAAGGGAAGTACATACTGGTGGTAGACATGAGAAAATACTGAAAAACACAAAGAAAATGTAAAAAACAATTCTGTAAGCATATCACAGAGACAATAACTCTCAACATTATATACAAATGTATTTTGATAAAATTTAGATCTCATATAGTTTTGTAGACTTTTTACTTAACTATATATTTTGATCATTAATCCTCCCAAATTTTTGATCTTCAAAGTTTTACTTTTTAAATGGCTATGAAATATTAATTATATTGTCCACTCTCATTTTTCCAGTCTTTCCCATTTGGGACATTTGAATGGTTTTCAGTTTTTGGAAAAATTACAACTGTAACTACCCTTTCTGTGTATAATCTCTGTGTGTAGCTGCGATTATTTTCTCAGGAAGGCATCACTAGCTGCTGTCTCGAAGAAGCAGCAGTTTCGAACAGACCAGAGGGAGACAGTGCAAAGTTGAAGGCAAGGGGCTCAGGGGTGCCAGGCAGAGAGGTCCCCCAGTAGGGTCAGAAGGAGGGGCAGGGAGGCCGTAATGGTGCGCAAGGAAGGAGGGCCGAGGACTGGAAGTTGACATCTGGGCTTGGCAAGACCACAGGAGTAGCCCCAAGGCAGGACAAGTCCCTCCATCTCTGTTCCCAGAGCTATCTCCTCTGGCCTGGCTCCTGCTATTGCTCATGGCCCCTGTCCCTCAGGTGTGGTTAGGGCCTCAGTGACTGACTCTGGGGGCAGTGAGCAGATGGCAAGCACCCTGGGACACTGGCTTCCTCATGCTGTCTCTGCCCTGGCCCAGTTCTGGACACGGCAGGGCCACTCTGACACCTGACTGAGGGCGAATGGGCTCGCAGGAGGCCAGAGAGAGCAGTACTCACTGTCCTCGTGGGTCCACACAAGCTGCGGTGTGCTCGGGGGCCCGTCCCCTGGTGTGGTGAAGCATAGGACGGACGTGAAGTAAGCGGTGAACTTCTTCAGGTTCGTGATGTATCCGTGGTGGATTCCGTGGAAGTCTGGGGCGATGGTGGCCACAGTGACTGCCTCGGGAACATCGGATGGCCATGCTAGAAGCTGAGAGGGGCAGGTGAAGAGAGATCCTTTTAAAGTCCACTTGCTCACTCCAATCTCTATCAGATTTTTATTTTGTAGTAAGTCTTTAAAGAAAGCACAGTCATAATGAAACCTATAAACCCTATACCATGTACTTCAAAAAAGTCCATTTGAAAAGAGATCTCACAGATGATTATATACAAATGCACGTGTATATACACATGCATATATATTTTAAACACATACATATAAATAAATAAAATAATAATATTAACTGCTCTTTGGAGCAATGGACTCCCCTGCAAACCTTCACCCTCCTTCATGCCAGCTTGCTATAGAACTTCTGTTTCTTAACCACAAGGGACAGAGATTACACCGTTTGTTAATTCAGTAGAATCAATCACTTATAATTTATATTAGAGGGCCAGGGATTTAGCTCAGTGGTTTCGCCACCTGCTGTGCAAGCACAAGGACCTGAGTTCGATCCCTGATACCAAAAAATAACCCCAAAAAACAATATATATATAATTTATATTAGATTAGTTTCCTGAAAAGGAATTTAGGACACCAGTTATGATTTTAAAGAAAGAGTACACAAGAATATTCCAAGGAAAGCTGCTTCATGCTTTGGGAACATTAGGAGCCTGTGTGAGCTTTCATTCCTTTGACACCAAACATCTCTCAGGCCAATTAGCTCTGAAAGCTGCCCACTGCAGGACCCACCTGGTGTCCACAGATCATGCTGACTACCCAGCCCTCCCACACTCAAGTGAGCGCTGCTGTCTCGCCAGTCAGACCTGGCAGCAGATTCAAGAGGGCCCAAGCACCTGGGCTGATCAGTATGATTTGCTTTCACAAAAGCTTCTGACTTTGAATACTTCTGAGGGAAAAGGAAAGGCAGGGATGATTTCCAGCTATGTGTGCCTTTCTAGGAGACATTAAATAAGTGTTTTAGTAAGTTGAACACAAATGAGAAAAAAAAAAATGAACCGTGTATCTGGGAAATGATCCCCTCTGAAGCTGAAATCACCAGATTCAAGCACAGGGGATGGAATCCCTTCGCACAAAGGTCTCCCCGAGTGCCCTGGCCCTGTGGGAAGATTAGTGAGTTTGCGGCACCCACACTGAGGGGATTGAAGGGAAAGATAAGTTGCACTTTTCAAGTTGCACCTGATCCCATCTATGAAACAGGTTGTGGTTAAGGTGGATGGTGGGAATATGTGTTTCTAATTTGGTTTTGAGAGGAATCCTGAACCAACTGGTCTCTTCTTTAAACAGAATTCCCCCCTAAAACAGGGAGGGGGAGGAGTGAACCTCCTTGGCTACAAGCCTGTACCCTCTGCTTGGAGCCTGCCTGCACTGTGCCCAGGGAGGCCCCCTCCAGCAGAAGTGGCTTGGACACACGCTGACTCCCGACAGTTCTCCCACTGGCCACTGAGAATGAATGGCCTTTCTCATAAGAAACTGCTCTCTCCTATGTGCATGATCCATTGTCTTGATAACTCATTGTTTGAGTTTCTGAACCAGGAGAGCTGAGGGTAAGACCTTAGATAAATGGTGACCCTACCAAGGCCGTACCACTCTGCATTGGATGCCTGGAGTTCCCAATGGGATGGGAAGGATGGCCTCCCTGCATGACCACTGGATGGTCACAGAGCAGGACAGCCGGCCTGAGGCTCCACGCCAGGCTGGTAGTTACCTTGTATCCCTGGTTGATCCCATTGACGAACTGCTGTGGCGGTGGGTTCCACAGGAACTGGACAGTGGTGGAGTTCACGGCTTCTGCCTGCACGTTCTGCGGGGGCGCAGTGGGTACTGTCCCAAGGGGTCGCAGAAGACAGCAAAACCAATGGCAGGAGGCACCATGGGGAGGAGAGATGCAAGAGAGAGCCACAGCTGTCATTCAGGATCCACAGGCAATTACGGCACCGAGAACAGTGGAGTGTGATGAATGTTTTTGGAAGCTAATAGTGGCATTACGAAGAAAGAGAATCGGGCTCTTTCTTGTTTTCTGTTGAAGAATTCCTTAAGGCACAGGGAGAAAACTGGACTATACCATCTTATTCCACAGATGAGTCTTTCCCACGGATGCAGGACAAAGAGGAAGTAAAAGCTTTCACGGATTCCTTTTTCAATTGCCCACTAGTGGAGATCAAGGCCCAGTTTCATCTA